GACTCCAAAGCCCGCTGTAATATGTCTAATTCCGTTTTACGACCTATCATATCTGTAAATTTTAAAGCAAAGGTACATAAATAAAGCCAGATTGAACCTTCAATTCGGCTATAAGTAGTGGAAAAGTGATAGATAAAGCCAGATTGAACCTTCAATTCGGCTATAAGTGGCAAAAAAATAATAGATAAAGCCGGATTAGGCTTTTAAAATGCAAATCACAAAAATATTCTATGAAATTTATCTACCTTTGTTGATAAAAATTGATATTTACAACTACAACAATATGAGGCATATATTTTTAGGTTGCACAATAATTCAAAAGGACACAGTACTTTTCTATTTAACCAGATATTGTCACGCACTCTAATCATTTGTAATCTCCGAAGAACCAAAGTTGATAGGCAACAAACATTAAGATTTACCTTTAAAACAACAAAATGTCGAACGTTAAAAAACTAAAACTGCTTTTCGTATGTACTGTCAATCGTATGAGAAGTGCTACTGCACATACAATTTATGAAGGTGACGACCGCTTTGAGGTTAAGTCCGCAGGTACTGATAATTCAGCGAATACAGTTTTAACTGAAGATCTGCTAAATTGGGCTGATAGTGTTATTGTAATGGAGAAACACCATAGAAATCATATCCGAAAGTTATTTCCTGAGGTTTATGAGAACAAGCGGATTGTTTGCCTTTATATTCCTGATGATTATGACTACATGGAAACTGAACTCATTGAAAAGCTTAGAAGCAAAGTGGAAGATATCTATAGCAGGAAACTGATTTGAATACTAAAATTTAATAATTGTTTGGCATGTTCTATCCAAAACTTTTCCAATCCCAAGACCTCAATCTTTTGAAGGAAATCATCAAAGAAAATGCTTTTTCAAGCCTAATTACCTACAAAGGTCGAATTGCTTCAACCAAGGCAATGATGCAATTGCGAGAGCTTGATGATGAGCAATTTATCATTGAAACGCATATTGGGAGAGCCAATCCAATTGCCAAGAAAATAGAGGCAGGCGATGAAGTGTTGTGTGATTTTTTGGGCGCGCATACCTATATTTCGTCATCGTGGTATGACCACATCAATGTTTCTACTTGGAATTATGAGCAAGTGCAGATATATGGGATTGTGGAATTCATGACGGATGCGGAGTTGTATAATCATCTGAAGGACTTAACCAACTTTTATGAGCTTCCGCAAAAATGCCCCATGACTATGGAGCGCATGGGTGCTGAATTTATAGAAAAGGAAATGCGCGGAGCCTTGGGCATAAAAGTCCTTCCAACCGATGTGAAAATCAAGCAAAAGCTTTCTCAGAATCGAGATGCGGCGAATTATCAGCGAATAATTGACAATCTGAATGAATCAGATAATCTGATGGATAGGATGATTGCGAGGAAGATGGAGACCAAGCTAAAGAACGAAAACCCGCAGCAGGGATAGTAGCGGATGCCGATAAAAAACGCCTTGCACGAAAACAAATGCCTCGCCACATACCCAAGAGGCGTTTTTTTTTCGGCAGTAGCGGATAGCCCGGCGACTCAAAAACTGCCGATTCCTACCTTTAGAAAAACGATACTAGGCAAAATGGCAGTTTTTGAGGCGGCTGCCATAATATTTATTCAAACAGCGCATCAATAGTAATATCATTTTGCACCAGCCCCATTGCATAGCTGTTGTTTTGGAGACCATACGTAGTAATAAAGGTTAGAAATATAGCTTTGGGGGTTTTCGTCTCTTTTTGGAAAACAGCAATTTTTTGTCGCAAAGCCGATTCATATTGCTTATGCATAAATAAAGCCAGATTGAACCTTCAATTTGGCTAAAAGTGGCAAAAAAATGATAGATAAAGCCGGATTGGGCTTTCAATTTGGCTATAAGTAGTGGAAAAGTGATAGATAAAGCCGGATTGAGTGTTCAATTCGGCTGTAAGTAGTGAAAAAATGATACATAAAGCCGAGTTGGGCATTTTGGAATGCAAATCGCAAAATACTTCAATTAAATTAACCTACCTTCTAAAGTAAATCATCAAAGCAAATGCAAATGCAAGCCTTATTACTAGTGCAAAGGTCGCTTCTTAATAATTCCGCCCCTAGTATCGTTTATCGTGTGCTGAATAATAAACGCATTTGGGTCAATTTGATCAATTTCGAAGAGCAATTTGGATACTTCGAGGCGAGTGACCACACAGAACAAAGCTTTGCGGTCTTCTTCCTTCAATCCTGATTTTCCATATCCGGAGGTGGTATTATATACTGTTACACCAAATCCTAAGTGTTGGGTTATTCGCTCTTTGATCTCCTTAGGGTAATCCGAAATGATCATCACACCGATATATTCCTCAATACCATGTATGATAAAATCTACAGTTTTAGAAGCTGCAAAATAAGTAAGCATGGCATACATAGCTGTTTCTGGGTTGAGAAGGAATGCAGCGACGGCGAATAGAAGGATATTGAAAATAGCAATAAAATCGCCCACGCTTAGGCTGCTGGTACGACTTACTTGGATTGCAAGCACCTCTGTGCCATCAATTACTGCGCCTCCTCTGATAGAAAATCCTATGCCGGCACCTAGGAAAAAGCCGCCAAAAATGGCGATGAGCAGTTTGTCACTTGTTATTGTAGGCATCTCCAAAAAATGCACCAATACAGACAAAACCAAGATGGCTAAGGCACTTTTTATGGCAAATTCCAAAGAAATCTGCTTATATCCCAAAATAATAAAGGGTAGATTGACCAATAAATAGTATCAATATACCTAAATCGAGCTTCGTAAACACTTGGAGTAACAAGGAAACTCCCATTGCGCCACCATCTAAAAAGCCATTTGGTAGGCAAAACCCTTTAAGTCCAATAGCTGCACAGGTGACTCCTAAACAAATAAAGAATGCATCTTTGATGTAGCCCACCATAGTAAGCCTTCTTATGGGCTTTTGCGGGGTAAATGTGTTTGATATTGGTGTTGGCATGTGCATAGATTTTAGAAAGGTGATTCATTCATGGCTTATTTGAACAATAAAATCCTACATTCCTTTTTGTCGAAATAGGTTTGTCCAAGTAATGTGTGCCAGTTTGGAGACAGCCTCAACCACCCCTCGGATAATTCATATCGTCATCCTGAGGAGTTTTCTTAATCGGCAAAGAAAGCATCTTCCGAAAGAAATAAAAAGTAAATCCGGTGATAATGCCCATAGAAAGCAGCATCATGATAAGCGCGGAAGTTTCCATATATCTAATATTTATTGATTATTTAAGCTTTAATGGGCAGTTTTTTGCTCCCTTTTTTTGTTAGCCAGATAGATGAGGTAGCAAATGCCCAGCATTACTGCCACCAACAATAGCCGCGACCAATTGAGGTAACTCATTTGGGTCTGGAGTGTGGCTATTTCGTCGGGATTGGTGGAGGCTGCTATCTTAGCGTAGAGCGATTTGTGGGTCATATTGTCGATGATAGAAGGCAAACTGCCAACGAAAACCGCAATGATAATAAGTGGAGTGATGTATTTGAGCACAAACTTGAAGAAAATCGGCAGCTTTATATCCGCTCCGCGATTGATTTCCGCCCAGCCTTTATCTATGCCAAATACCCAAGAGAATAGGATAATCTCCATCAATCCGGCAAATACCAATCCTACCGTGCCCACCCAATAGTCAAATTCATCGAAAACGCCTTGCTTGTAGAACAGCACTGTAGGCAGTCCCAATATACAGACTATTGCAGCAAAGGAAAGCGCACCTTTGTTGCGCGACCAGTTGAATTCGTCGCGCATAAAGCCCATCCAAGGCGTACCCATAGCGAGCGATGAAGTGATACCGGCAAAAAACAACAATCCAAACCACGCTACACCGGCTATTGCCGCTAGCACAGGTCCCCACTGCTGAAACAAGTATGGCATGGTGCGAAATCCTAGCCCCAAACCGCCGCTTTGCGTAAGCTCTACCACGCGCTCTATGCCCAAGTAACCTACCGAAATAGGTATCACGATGCTTGCGCCGAGCACCACTTCCACAAATTCGTTGGTCCACCCGGCAGAAAGCGAATTGAGCACCACATCATCGTTGGGCTTGATATAGGCGGCATAACTATGTATCATGCCCCAACCTACCGACAGCGTAAAAAATATCTGCCCTGCCGCCGCCAGCCACACTTTGGGCGTCCATATCGTGGAGAAATCGGGTTTCCAAAGGAAATTGGCGCCGACTACGCCGTCATTAATGGCACCGTCCACACCAGCGGTGATGGTGAGCGCACGCACCGCTAAAAACACCCCAAAAAGTATAAGCAGCGGCATACCTATTTTCGCAGCCACTTCCACACCGCCTTCCAAGCCGCGCGAAAGTATCCAGGTGTTGATGGCAAGGCACAGAAACCAGCATATCCAAGGGATATTGCCCGCCAAACTTACATAATTATCAAAAATAGCGTTGACTCCATCGGCTGACTGTCCACTAAATGCCCCTGTAGCTGAATACCAAAGGTAACCTAAGGTCCAGCTTTCAAGGTAGCAATAATAAGCTGCCACGCCGATATTGATGAAAATACCCGACACGCCTACGTACTTCCAAAAGGCTTTTTTGCCCATGCGGTCGAAAATAAATGGGGTAGCGTGGTCTCCGTGCATACCGCCGTAACGCCCCATTGCCCACTCCACAAACAACAAAGGAAGTCCCAAAAGCAAAAAGCAAACTAAATACGGAATGATAAACGCTCCGCCGCCATTTTGTATGGCTTGTACCGGAAAGCGCAAAAAGTTGCCGAAGCCCACAGCATTGCCGGCCATGGCTAGTACTAATCCTAATCGGGAACCCCAAGATTCATTGTGTGAAGACATAGTATTATAAGCTAATTATTTTAATGTTTGGCAAAGATAGATAATAAACCACGAAGACACTACGTTTTTTTACGAAGCACACAAATAAAAATAGTGTTCTTTGTGAAAAACTTTGTGTCCTAGTGGTTAAATAGTGTGCTTCGTGAAAAACTTTGTATCTTAGTGGTTAAACCGCAAGAAGCCAATAGGCAACGACGTAGCCCCATCCAACGCCAAATCTGCCAAGACTTCGCCCACCACCGAGGCAAACTTGAAGCCGTGTCCACTAAAACCACAGGCGAAAACCACATTTTTACTTGCCGGATGAAGGTCGATGATGAAATTTTCGTCGGGTGTATTGGTATAAAGGCAAGTCTTGATGGAAAGCGTTTCGCCATTGGCAGCAGGCATATATTGCTCTAAGCAACGCCGAAAAGTCCATTCATCTGCCGCCGAAATACTTCTATCCACGTGGTCTGCATCCACCACCGCCCCATGTTTGTGGCAACCGAGCTTAAATCCTAGCGGTCCTGCAGTATCTTCATGCTGCAATATCGGCATGCCGTAGTACAATCCTGCCTCCGCATCACTGATAGCCCAACAGGGCATCCGTCCGTTCATATATGATTGATAATCAGCCGGTTGCGCCCAACCCAATATCTGGCGCGTCACCTTGAGCGGAGCAGCAATACCGCCCAATACTTGCGCTGACCATGCGCCAGCAGTCAATACCAGCTTGGCGCAGGTGTAAGTGGCTTTATCGGTGGTGACTTGGATGTTGCCGGTTGAGCTTTCTTGCCATTCCACGACTTTTTCCCTTGCTTTGAGGGTGGCGCCGAGCTGTATGGCTCCTTGCAAGTGCAGGCGCATACATTTTTCCGCCAATAGAAAGCCCGCTTCCGGCTCAAAAAGGCACTCCCAATCGTCGGGGACGCCGCTAAACATGGGGTATTGACGCTTGGATTCGACCGTATTGCGCACTTCTAGCGGTAGGTTATACAATTGCGCGGAGAGTTTAGTGCCATTCAAAAGCGTATCGCCTTGTGCCCCAAAATACAGGATTCCGCTTTGAAAATACACTTGCTGTCCGGTTTTATGCTCCAAATCTGCCCAGTTTTCGTAGGCACGAAGGAGCAGCGGCACATAGTCGGGATGCTCAAAATAAGCTTTACGGATGAGGCGCGATTGTCCACCATGCGATCCTAGAGCGTGAATAAAGTCAAATTGCTCCAGTACTAGCACTTTTTGCCCGCGTGCTGCTAGGTGATATGCTGCCGCAGCGCCCATGGTGCCGCCGCCTACGATGATGCAGTCGTATGTGTGTTGCATGATTTTTTTGCCACAAATTTCTCAAATTTTCACAAATCTGCGTGTGGTCTGCGTGTTTTTTTGCCACGAATAGCACGAATTTTCACGAATCTGGGGTTCGCTACGCTCAAATTGTCAATTATCCATTGTCAATTATTATGGCAAGTCCCTTTGTGCTGCCCTTTTAGCACTTATGGTAACATAGGCTGTCGGGAAGGGCAGCCCAAGCGGGTCGGGCTATCCGTTGCAATAGCCCTTTTTGTGCCTTTTTTTACTTCGGCTTGGCATAGGTGGATAGATACATCGGACTACAAATTCTTGGTTTTTGCGAGTAATTTAAAGGAAAAAGGCACAAAGAGGGCTATTTTCACTACTATCCCTCTTGCGCACGCCATGTTATGAAGCTGTTAGCGATTGCCGCGTCGCTGCCCCGCGCTCTGGCTTTCAAACGATTGCTCTTGCCGCAACCCATCTTGGTCCACTAGTACGAGGGTATGCTTGCCATCGCTAGGGTGTATCGCCATCTGATGAAAGACTTCGGTTTTGCCGAGGTACTGCCCATCAAGGTGCCAATGCATGGTGGCATCGGGGCGGCGGTGAGCAGCTTGCATGACCATTTTGCCCGGGCTGCCATCGAGTTCGATGGGGATAGTGATTTTGGAGGCTTTGCGCGGATATAGCATCTGTATAGGGGATGCATGGTCGTGGTCCAAGGCAGACACACAGTCGGCACGGAGCGCAGGGGGTACTTGGTAGCTTGGATTCTTGGATTTGTAGTAATATTCTAGGTCGGCAGGGAGCACAAACCAAGGCTTGTGCAGCATTTCTGAAGGGATTTGGCAATTTTCGGCAACTTGGTACTTTCCATCGGGCGAAAGATGAAGTATTTTGCAATAAGTGCAGGCAGAGCCGCGCAAGCTGGTCTTTGGCACCCATGTGGAGTCTTGGTCGGGGCAATCTTTGCCGGCGCGATAGCCTGAGTGTCGGCAAAGTGGTGCTTGCACCATATCGTTGTACGGGGCTTCGAACCACTGCGCGGTCGGCAGTTGCCCAAATATCTCGAAAAGTACCGGCGCGGCAGTTTGTACGCCTATGAGTCCGGGGCGACCTTCGCCGTCAGCATTGCCTACCCATACGCCTACGGCATAACGTTGGGTGACGCCTGCCGCCCATGCGTCACGAAATCCAAAAGAGGTGCCGGTTTTCCAGGCGATGGGCTGTCCGGCTTGAAACAGTTGCCATTCGCCACTAGAGGAAGGGCGCTCTACTTCTTGCATGGCTTGGAAAGTGTAGTATATTGCACCTGCGCTGAGTATGGGCGCATCGCGCACGAGGGTAGAGGTAGGTTCGGTATTGGAGCTGCCGGCGAGTCCGGCAATTATTTTTTTACCTTTGGAGCTTGGGTTAAGCGTGAGCAGTGGAGGGTGGAATTCGTGGAGGTTGTATTTGTCCTCGTTTTTGGTGTAGTTGATGAGCGTACGCGACATAGAGGCATAGGCATTGGTGATATCGAGGAGATTGGCTTCGGCGCCACCAAGCGCTAGCGATAAGCCGTAGTGGTTGGGCGGGAAGCCTAAGGTGGTAAGCCCAAGCTGCTTGAGTCCGAAGTGAAAACGTTCTACGCCATAGTCACGCAGGAGGAGCACAAAAGGCACATTGAGCGAACGCACGAGGGCTCGGCGGGCAGGTATGGCACCATCGTAGGAATACATGTAATTTTCGGGCTTGTAGCCTTGCATCTGAGTGGGCACATCGTGGAGGAGGCTATTGGGAAGAATAGTGCCATCTTGTAGCCCGAAAGCGTACAAATATGGTTTGAGGATGCTTCCGGTGCTTCGTGCAGAAGAAAGAATATCCACGGATTGGGCATGTTCGCTGCCAGCATTGGCTATGTTGCCGACGTATGCTATAACTTCGCCGGTGGGCACATCGATGACCACGGCAGCCATATTGTGTACGCCATTGCCTTTGTAAACGGAAGCCCAACGCTCTAGTGAAGCTGTCACATTTCTTTGTGCTGAGCGTTGTATAGTAGTGTAGTATCGGCCGGATTGTGCAAGAAGCTGATTACCTTTGCTTGAAGAATGAGCAGCAATAAGCCTATCGAGCAGGTGAGGAGCTTCTTGTGGTAGCGATAGTGGCGCATCGGGTATGGGCTCTATAAGTGCGAGATCGCAGGTTTCTTGGTTTATTTTGCCGGATTGCACTAAGGCATGTAGGAGGGCATTGCGTTTTTGGGTAAGGGCTTGGCGGTTGCGCCCCGGGTGTATAAGCCCCGGACTATTGGGCAATACGGCGAGGGTAGCGGCTTCAGCCCAGGTGAGCAGTGCGGGTCGTTTGCCGAAATATCGCCATGAAGCTGCTTCTAAGCCTACTACGTTGCCACCAAAAGGGGCGTTGGAGGCATAGAGTGTAAGGATGGTCTTTTTGCGGTGTGTAAGCTCAAGGCGTGTGGCCTTGCAGATTTCGAGTAATTTCTCGGGTATAGTGCGTGGCGGATTGCCGCGCGACATACGGATGACCTGCATAGTGAGGGTACTGCCGCCGCTGACAACTTTTGATTGGGTGATATTCGATTTTAGAGCTCGAAACAAGCTGAACGGGTCAACCCCCGGATGATAATAAAATCGTTTGTCTTCGTATTGTAGGAGGCAGGTGGTGTATTTTTCGGGAACTTCGGTCAGCTGTGGGAATCGCCATTGACCATCGTCGGCTATGCGTGCGCCAAGCAATTCGCCATCGCGGTCGAGTAAGATGTGCGAAACGGGCTGAACAAAAAGTGGAGTGCGAAGACAGAATAGCCAAGAAAGCAGCAAAATTGAGATTAGAATGGTCTTTTTTGGGTGTTTTTTGGCAGATTGGATAGGGTTACGAAAGAAGTGTGCCAAACGAGTTGGCATCGAGTTTAGGATGGTAATGTTCATGATGCATGGACGTGTTAGAGTGAAAGATTAAATGTCTAAAGACGAATCGGTATTCGTATGGGCGGATTAAAGGAAAGGGGGTGCTCATATTAAAAACTAATTACTTTGGCATAAAATTTAGAGTATCTTGTTCGTCGGCAGCCGAATAATTTGTTTCAAAGCAAATCCCTAGGTTGTTCGAGATAGAGAGGGGATTAGTCACTAGAAAGACAGATAATAAAATTGGTAAGTACAAAGTTGAGGCATATTTCTTACATTTGCAAAAATAAGTTGAAATATTTGGAACTTTTTTCCATAATTTTGTATTTGAATAAGTGACTTACTGAGTAATTGCGTCAAAATGTAGATTTACTTCTTCCTTTTGATGATAAATAATCATCTGGTTGGTGTTGTATCGGTCGGATTGGTTAGATTCAAACTAAAGCGTTTGAATGGAGCAATTATAAACACTTTTTTTTGGTAGCTATAAAATATTCATTAAGTATTTTGCTATTTTGCATATTTTTGCTATTTAATCCTATATTGTTCTAAGGTGAAACAACTTAATGTTTCAAAAAACGTATAAATTATATATCTTAAACTACACAACTAACATGCGTCAGCTAAAAATTTCTAACAAAATCACCAACAGGGAAAGTCTTGCGCTAGACAAATACCTGAACGACATTGGGAAAATAGTTCTGCTTACCCCGGAAGAGGAAACAGAACTGGCCAGGCGTATCCGTGAAGGTGATCAAGATGCCTTAGATAAGCTTACCCGCGCCAATTTGCGTTTCGTGGTTTCTGTAGCTAAGCAGTATCAAAATCAGGGACTTTCTTTGAGTGACCTGATCAACGAGGGCAACGTAGGCTTGATGAAAGCCGGTAAGCGTTTTGATGAGACCAAAGGCTTCAAGTTTATCTCCTATGCTGTTTGGTGGATTCGTCAGTCTATTTTGCAGGCGATTGTGGAGCACTCTCGTATTGTGCGTATGCCGCTCAATAAAGTAGGCTCTTACAATAAAGTAAATGAAGCTTTCTTGTCGTTTGTGCAAGAGTTTGAGCGCGACCCATCCGATGAGGAGCTCGCCGAAATACTAGATATGACTCCGCGTGAAGTCAATAATATGCTTCGTGGCTCTCAGCGCCACGTGTCTTTTGATGCGCCACTATCGATGAGCGAAGAAGGGGACTCTACTATGCTCGATGTATTTATGTCTGAAGAGAATAGTGAGCCCGACCATGATCTAGTAGCGCAGTCGCTCAAAGACGAAGTAGCACAAGGCATGGCTATTTTAAGCCCACGCGAGATAGAGGTTATTTCTTCTTACTACGGACTCAATGGCTTCAAAGCTATGACGCTCGAAGAAATAGGAGAAGCTTACAGCCTTACCCGCGAGCGCGTACGTCAGATCAAAGAGCGAGCTATTCGCCGATTGAGAAAATCGCACAACAGTGGCGCTATGAAATCTTACCTCGGGTAATTTTTCTACAATTCTACGATTTCCCGCACTTTCGAGTATAATATAAGAAGCATCATCCTTTGAGTAGGGTGGTGCTTCTTTGTTGTTAAACACAACTTGTCCCGAACGCCTTCGGGATAGGCACATAGAGCACATAGAATTCGTGGCGAAATTAAACACATAGGCACATAGAACACATAGATTTTTGAGTGAAGCGCCACACGCAGTATCATAAAAAAATCATACATAGATCATAAAAATCATAAAAATCATTATCCCTGCCCTGTCAACACGCAGTATCATAAAAAAATCATACATAGATCATAAAAAACATAAAAATCATTATCCCTGCCAACATCAAGTGCCACGCAGATTTATGAAAATTAGTGCAATTTGTGGCAAAAAAAAAGCGCCTTCCGAATGCACGGAAGACGCTTTTTTAAAATATTCTAAGTTCTGATTACTTCACATCAGCGAAGAACTCAGCTACTTTATCTTTATGGATGATCATAGTTTTATATGTATAACCACCTGTAACCGGATTTTTTACAGATTTTACCACCTTAACGTGGTCTTTTCCTGAACCGGCAGCTACGCTACGTTGAGCAACTTTGGAGTTTTTCGATACTTTCTTAGCCATGGCTTAAAAAAAGATTTAGATGGTGAATGATTATTATTTGATTTCTTTGTGAACGGTATATTTACGCATGATTGGGTTGTATTTTTTCAACTCCAAACGCTCAGGTGTGTTTTTGCGATTTTTTTCGGTCACATAACGTGAAGTACCAGCCAAACCACTAGTTTTGTGCTCAGTACATTCCAAAATTACCTGGATGCGATTACCTTTACTTTTCTTTGCCATTGTGCGCTATTTTAAATAATTGCTGTTGTCGTGATAAAAAATGTGCAATGCTTTCTTTTCGATTAATCTTCGAAAAAGATGATTTCACCTTTCTTTTCAAGTTTTTTGATGTAACCGTAAATGCCCAATTTGTCAATAGAACGAAGAGCAGACATACTGATCTTTAACGTTACCCATTCATTGGTTTCCGGTATGAAAAATTTCTTAGTCTGTAAGTTTGGGAAAAAGCGGCGCTTAGTTTTCGCATTGGAGTGCGAAACATGATTTCCTGTAATAGGGCCTTTTCCTGTTAAATCACAAATTCTGGACATGTTACTGCGTATTAAACGAATATATAATAAAGTGATCCCGAGAGGACTCGAACCTCTAACCTTCTCATCCGTAGTGAGATGCTCTATCCATTAAGCTACGGAACCATGAAATACCTCGTCAATTTATCAAAATCGGAGGTGTTGCATTTCGGGCGGCAAAGATAAGACTAAAACTTTTAATTCTCCAAATTATTTTCCATTACAATTTGAAAAATTTTTCTGAGACTACATTTTTGCCATTTCCGATAGCAATTGCGTACATTCCTTTGGCTAAATTGCCCGTTGGTATCTCCAAAATATTTTCTATCAAGGCATCGGGTGTGTGCGTGGTTTCATACACCAACTGCCCCAATGCATTGAATACCCTGATCTCTTTTTTTGCATTATCGGGGCTGGTGTAGATAGCTTGCACATTTTGCGCCGAGGCGCCAACTATAATATTAGGTCTTATTTTCAAAGCAAGTACATTGTCCACCTCACCCGTGCAATATACTTCATCCAGCGCCTTCAGCGCCTTGAATACATTGAGCCTACCGCCTGTCACCGTCACCCCATTGAGCGAACTCAAAGCATCTGTATTATTCAATATCGCATTTTTTATTTTAGTCGCCATTTCTGCCGGTGCGCTCTTGGAGCTCGCCGTAAAATTGGGGCACTTCAGGCTATATAATAAGGCTACAGCGCCCGTTACGTGCGGTGTAGCTGCCGAGCAACCATTTATTGAACTATATGCAGAGCTGCCCGATGTGCTCCCCGGTGCTGTGCTCACCACCGATTGACCCGGCGCTCCCATATCAATCGAAATCGCACCAAATCCTGCCGAGGTTTCCTTTTGGTCACTTTGGGTAGTATTAGTAACCGTAATCAAGTACGGACTGCTACAACCTGTAGGCATATCGCCATCCATATCCACATTTACATTGCTATTGGTAGTGGCCGCCACACTCACAATGCCCACCACGCCCAACGAATCATACATATTGCACCACAGCGGATAATCAATCGGTTTAGCATTGTTCAGCCCAAAAGAAGCGTTGGTGGTCACGATATAGCTGCCTTTCGCGCCATTGCTGGTGTTGTAAAGCCTTCTCAAGTCGCGCACGTAAGAGTACGCCTGTATGATTTCCGAAATGGCTTGCACATTCGATACATTGAGCAATTTCACCTGCCAATTCACCCCGCACACGCCCAAACTGTTGTTGCCGCCTGCTCCCACAATGCCGGTCACCTGCGTACCATGTGTCACCGGCAACGAACTTCCGGCTCCATCGCCGCCATTGCGCGGGTCGTAGCCTAATCGGTCATCGGCATAGCCATTGCCATCATTGTCCAAGCCATCGCCCGGCACCTCTCCCCAATTCACCCAATTGTTGCTCTGAAGGTCGTCATGCGCCCTGTAATAACCTTTTTCAAGGATTGCAGCCACAATCGTATCGTTTTCATTGGTGAGTCCGCCCGTGGTATATTCCCAAGCCTCCTCCATTTGTATTTTTTTTAGGCTCCACTGCTGACTAAAATTGTTGTCGTTGGGTGTGTTGCGGTCCTCCACCTCATAGTTGAGCGAAGCCGCCAATACATCGGGGTGACGCAATAGTTTACCAAGCATTATTTGGGCGTCATACTGGCTTTCATCGAATGTGAATAGATGCATATTCCACGATTTGGAGAGCGTTTTGCTCGCTTTGTAGGTGCCATCATTGCGCTGTGTGCCATGCAATTGTGCCAATACATCTGCTGCTTTAGCTTCATATTTCAATTGTACGCATATTTCGCCGGTTCTTCTTGCAGGCGTTTGTGCCCACAAAATACTGCTTATGCAAAGGAAAAAGCAAATACTGAGTAAATTTTTCATATTGATAATAAGTTTATGCAATTTCATACTAAGAGGTATAGGTTAAGGAAACGCACTGCCGTGTGCAATGTTTTTTATTGCAGCAAATATATGGAATTTTTCTTGATTGGATGGTTTTTTGCCGCGTTTTGCTTGAATTTTACGAATCTGCATGTTGGCAGGGATAATGATTTTTATGTTTTTTATGATTAATGTATGTTTTTTTTATGATACTGCGTGTGGCCCTTTGATCATAAAACTATGTGTCCTATGTGCCTATGTGTTTAATTTCGCCACGAATTGCACGAATCTGGGGTTCGTTTTGCTCATCGTTCATATCTCATCGTTCATATCTCATATCTCATCGTTCATATTTAAAAAGAATGGCAGCCGCCCAAAACCGCCTTTTAGCGTATCGGTTGTAGGGTGAGTCGGGTAGGCGGTTTGGTCGCCGGGCTATCCGCTATACCTTCACAAAAAAACGCCTTTTGAGAGTGGGGAATCGGTATGGTTGGGTAGGTATCTTGGGCTGAGGTAGCCCGTTTTAGCTTTATTGGAAGGCGCTTTTGTTCGGTGCCGCTGCTATCCCTGCTGCGCGCGCATGCAAGAGGGATAGCAACGGAAATAGCACTTTTTGTGCCTTTTTTGTAAAAATTACCCGGACAACATAGCCGTTGCAGTTCAATATTGCTACCGAACTGCCTACAAGCGAAGTGAAAAAAGGCACAAAAGGGGCTATTGTAGTGGATAGCCCGACCCGCTTGGGCTGCCTACTATAAGGACTAAGCTATGCAACTCACCTTAAGGCAGCCCAAAGGGACTTGCCCTAATGTTTTTTAGTTGCAAAGTAGTTTTCTGATCTGTTCGAACCATACCACCTGGAGGCGTTTTTTGATGTCGTTGTAGTCGATGCAGGCTTTTTCGTAGTTTTTGAGTGCCATGTGCGCCGAGCCGCGGTAGTAGATGGTTTCGCAGTTGTTGGGGTCAAGTGCTAGTGCATCGGTGAATTTTTGGACAGATTCGGTGTATTTTTCTTGGTCGTAGAGTTGCAAGCCCTCCTGGGATACGAGCAGCGATTGGTCGAAACGGTCATTGGCGGTTTTGCACTTAGCAGATGGCGATTTGAACAAAATACGCAGCGGATATACACATGCCACAGCTTGTTTTTCGTGGATGGCGGGTTGCCAACGTTGGGCTGTTTTGTTGGAGAGTTGTATGGCGTTCCAAAGAAATTCGTAGTCGAGATTGGAGAAATTGATCGAATTATCGACTTCCACACTGCCATCCGGGCGAATGAGCAGCGCCAACTCGATGATGCCGCAGTGGCAGCTATCGCGGAAGAGGGTGGGGTATTGCACCGCCTGAAGGAGGTATTCAGTGAGTGCTTCGTCGCCATCTTTGAAGCGAGCGAAAGTGTCGGGCTGGGTATATACTTTCTCGTTGTATTGGTTGTAGTTGAAAATGCGGGGTTTGTAGGCTTCGAGTTTGAAGCGAATAGGGAGGTTGTAGCGTACGCGCACGGGTTTGTTGTTTTGCGTGCCAGGAATCCATTTCACGCCCTCTTTTTGGAGTGCAGAAACCACCCTTACTGCCTCTTCGGCGCATCCGCCACCAATGTCTTTTACCATTCTTATATCGCTCAGTGTACTGTCTTTTTCTACCACAAAAGATAGGACGACCATGCCTTGTATGCTATCTTCGATGGCTAGGGCGGGGTATTGAATGTTTTTGGAGAGCAACTGCATATATATTGTTTCGGAGCATTTTCTGAGGCTGTCTGCCGAAATCATGGCGCCTTTTGGGTAGCAATATGGGATATTGGGCAGTGGCATAGACTCAGCAATAGGGTATATGGTGGAATCTGGGGTGATATCTTGTGCTGAACTATGAGCCGGCAACAATATGTGCAAAAAGCTTAGGAGCTTAAAAGTAAAGGTAAGTGAAAATGTTTTTTTATTGGGTATTAATTGTTGAAAGTGCATAATGTGTTGTTGAGTGAATAGTTTGAACCTGCAAA